AGATGGTGACTACACAATGTATTAATTTTAGTTAGTTGGTTATGTATTTTTTAAATAAAAAAAAATTTTTGAATTTATTTACTTGTAGCCAAAGTTAGAGGCGGTCAGATACTTATGACCGCTACTGTATTTAGTAAACTAATTATCAAAATTATTAAAACACCTATATATATGAATAAATTTAGTTTAAACTATCTTCTCTAAAAATTAGGAAAACAACCTTTATGACAATAAAACTGTAAATTATAGTTAGAATTTGACTACAGCTAAGCTTAATTTTTAGCTATTAGCTGATTTGGCTAATCAGCTAAAATCAGCAACCAAATTTCAATTAACATTTAGCTATAACCAATAGTCATTTTTGACTATTTTAACCACTTTGATCATAACTACAATAATGAACATTTTTAACCATTTGATTACTTTAGTTATAATTAAAATCACCAATCAGCTAAATTAGCTAAATATTACATAACTTTGTTAAATTTTAATTTTAACATTCAAAATGTTAAAATTCTTACAAATAGCAAATAATTTAATATTTTAAATATTAGAGATGTTGATTTTTGCAATTTTATAAGAATTTAATATCCTAAATATCAAAGGTGTTAATTTTTATATTTTTAAACATTCTGAATATTATAAGCATTAATTAATTGCTATTTTGCAAAAATTTTTAATATCCCAAATGTTAAAAATATTAATTTTTGCAAAATAGCTCACTTTTGTCAGCACAGCATTAGAATTCTCATTCCCGACTTAATTAATTAATTCGGAACATATACACTGATTGATCAATTGATGTTATATATATAAAAATTTATTTATAAATATACTTCGTCTTTGCTTCAAATAGAGAAATTTAGATATCTTCTCTTTAAAGCCTTTTACGCAGAAAGTGAGGCAGTAATTGTAGGTTTTTCTTCTGTATTTTTTAAATTTCTTAATATATCTTGTACTTTCTTAGTTAATGATCGTTAAATGTAAGGTAATGAAATGAATATTTGATCCAGCATTGTTATTAAATTTTTATTCATTTATATATTTGAATCAACTTTTATTACATAATGTCGAGGATGACGAGAATTTAATAAATATATTAATGAATACTTTTTGATGTATTACTAACAAAATAAAATTAATTTTGGCCGAACAAATTTTCATTTGTACCTGGACTTTAATTACATAAGTAATAAATATTTCATTTGGAACCTGTAAAGTTTATTAGCTTTGATGGGTGGTTGATGATGAATCCATTCATTCTGTGATCTTAAATAAATATTTTTTAAACAAGACGTCCATTTGAAATTTAAATGTGTTTTAAATATTAGAATGGTTTTTTCAAGTTCAGTAATAAAATTTGCCAAATTTCTTTTTAGAAAAATTATCGTATCCCTAGTCAGAATTACTAGGGGCTCCTCCTCTAAACTTTTGAAAGTGAACATCACATGCTCTATTTGTATAAATTTAACTTGACGCTCCTAGTCCTAATTTACTTTAGGAGAGCCGATGTAGAACCGAAGAGGTACCGAAATGGAACCATTCCAATCACTGGCAGAAGTTCGAATTGAAAAGAACCAATAAAACAAAAATAATATTAAAAATTAATAATCAAAAAAAAAATAATGTAAAAAAGAAAACAAATCTTTCTATAACTTATTGGAAAAATAAATCACCTATTTCTACGCCTTTTGTCATTATAAGTTAAAGGAATAAGAGAACAAAGATTACTATTAAATTTTTTACTCTGTACCTAATCAAATTTAGATTCAAAGGTATCAATAAAATTTTATGTAAGCATAAAAGACAATAAAATACGGCTAGCAACTGGACTAACCAAAAATTAAATGTTAAATCAAACATTTGTCGCACAAAATGATTACGTTAAATTTTTTTTTAAAATGTTTTTCGTCAGCATTTTAGTTCTTAATCATGATAGCAGGAGTTTCGATATGCCGGAAATTACTCCTTCCTTGCTAAATGACAATATGGTGGGCTATTCAAACATGATTTCTAAGCTCCCTATATAAGTTACATTTGATCATCCAATAAAAACCAAAGGTTTACAAACAAAAAAAAAAAACCTAAATTTGATGACGTAACGATAAAAAAATTTTGGTGGGTTTCATAAACCCGACTGTGTTAATCAACAAAGTCGATAATTTGCAAATAAAAGAGACATTACGTGTATCTTAAATGCAATTTGTGCAATCACACTAAATTATTAAATGCAAAATAATTTATAATCACGAAATTTCATTCCAATACAAATCAATTATATGCTTTTTTTTGAAGTTAAGACTCGTTAAACTTAATCATTAGCTTAATTCATTTTGAAGTAAAATTTGCTTTATTCTACTTTTGTTGACATTTAATTTGTTCAAGTTGATTAAATATGAATACAATATAATGAGAGAAACATCTCTCAAGTAGAAAGCACTTTTTCAACAAATAAATTTACAATCAAATTAAAAGACATATATTTTAGTTTGCATAATTATTTTGAACGAAAAATAATCTCGTCCTACACAATTTTCAGTTTACGAAAAAAAAAAGATTGTATACATGCGCCACCTTAATCATGCATAAATTTTTGGAGTTTTAGGTTCATAAGGCAAAGTATTAAACCAACCACCATCTCCATAATCGACCAAAAATGTTTTCAATGAATTACTTTGTCTCCTAAAAATTTCAATGTAGCGTTGTGTTACCATTTCGTATAACGCAATGGGAAAATCATTTTTGTTTAGATCTTTCGTCTTTTACAATGATATATCGTGTAACACTCTAAAACGTAAATACTCCCCATATAAATAAAGTATAAATTATTTTTTATTTTAATATTTATTTTTATTTTTATTTCTTTTTTTTTTTGTGATTTACAAAGTAAAAAATGCGTTTTAATGAATTATTTACTCGCCATCGAAAGACGGAACCTTCATCTGTTATTCTATTAAGAATATTGATTATGATATTATTAATATCTTCCCTCATAGGATATTTTACTATTTTGATTATCGAAGTGACTAATGATGACCCAATTATAGCAGATACAATCATTGAAGCAACGGAAATTCCGATTCCTGGTATGTTTAGAAAAAAGGCAAGAAAATCATTGTAATATATATATATTTTATTTATTTATTAAATTATGATTATTCTGTTAGATATGCAATTTCAATTCCGTTATCCATTCGAATTGTCATGTTTTTTTATAAGTAAGCATTTAAAAATAATTAAATATTTTTTGAATTTGAACTTGAATAATTTAACAATAAATTTTGTTCATATAGGATCAAAAGAAATGAATCTCGATAATAGTTGTACTGATTATTTTGAACAACTAGAAGTTTCTTCGGAAGACAACGTGTATATCAAACATTTTAAAAATATGCAAAATTTAAAATATGTAAAACCAGAAATTGATGAAAATGCAATACGGGCCGTTTCTGTAATTGCAAAGATTGTTGATCCAAATCATAATTCCACCAGAAGTCATGATCTTATGATATTTAGTGCTTCCGATTCTGGTAAATTAGCTAATTTTTTTTTTTAAAAAGAAAATCAAAACATTTTTAATTAATAATACAGACCATATATTTTATATAGAAACTATTCCTACGCCTCCTATGAGTGATTACGACGAAGCAAACCTTGATAAAATGCCTGCAATTATTTATTTTATGGTTAAAAACGAGGTAATTATTTTAATATATATATATATATATATATTTTTTAAAAAAAATATTAATGGAGAAATTATTGTTTCATAATTATTATATTTAAGTGGTCACTAATACAATTTACTAGAAACATAAGAGAACAAATTATTCCAAGCTTCAAAGATCATTTTGGATTCGAACCAACTTATTATAAACAAAATTATCTTTTGGCCAATTCACGTATGTAAATAATGTATTATTTTCTGTTTAATTATATCATTTTGTAAGATATTTTTATTTTTTCGTAGAGAACATTCCTTTGGATTTTGAAGTTGGTGAGATTTTTGCAAGCCAAATCACTTTAACTGTACAAAATTTCCTTATAACAAAAGAGACTGAACTAAGGCATGTTAATTATTTTTTCATGAAGTATGAAACAAAATATATTAACTTATTTATTAAAATTTAATTGTTGTTACAATATAGGAGACGAACTGTAAGTAATTTCTTATCAAGTTGGATTCAAATTTAAATTATAATTTAATAACCTTTTTGGTTTCTAATAAAAAAGTTAGTCAGCATGTTAGCTCTTGTGGGTGGTGCTTGGAGTCTAGCTGCGGCATTGTACGCGGCTCTATTTGGTAGGCACTTTTTTTTTTTAAAAAAAAAAAATAAAATGTTCAAATTCATCCTTGATACCTGACATATGATTTCTTCTCTTGCAAATAGGTGTAGACCTGATTCGACCATGGGGTTGGGTGCAATTTTATTGTTGTGGAGTACGTAAAAAAGCACGTAATAAACTTATAAAATCTCTTCCGGTAATTCCGCTAATTAATAATTCCGAAAGACCTCAACCTCCCACTTCTAGAGACATTTCTCGTGATGAGCATGCAGCCTTACAACGTCGTGTTGATGCTTTAGAAGTTTTCTTAAGAGAGTATGTCGTGGACGTAAATTACTTGGAAGCTGTACAAGAAAATGATGACAATAACAATAACGATAACAATATGAACATTAATAATTATCATAATAATTTTGATCCCTCCTTATTTACGCTTAATGTACATGAACAACAGCCTAGACACTAATAATATTTAAATCATACAACAGAAATCAAGTTCAAAATAAATAGATAAATAAACGAGGTATTAATTTTATAAATGTACAGTTTATACAATCAAAGCTCATTCCAATGTTTAAAGGTCCGGGTTGTCAAAATCTCGGGATATCCGGATATAGAAATCAGATATCCTACTTCCTTTGACTTTTTATTAAATTATATCTTTTTAAAAAATTACTTTCAATCTTCCATTGCAACTTTAAGTTCGATATCGGGGATAAATATGAAACGAAAGAAACGTTTAAAGATACTTTTTCTTAACAATTACGAAACTCCCCCAGAATGGAAAATAATCGATAGTATGGCAGAGGTTCAGGATTTTTACAGCGATGTTATCAGATTAAATTTTATTAAGGTTTATGAAATAGGTCCTAAAAATTAGTACTATTTACCCAAAAAAAATTTTATTTTTTGCAACCAAAGATTATTTTCCGCATCGAAAATCTCAAGCGGACAAACATTTCACCAATGTATGACAAGAATTTGATGTTGCTGATCAATAAATAAATATCAAAAATGGTAAAAAATCCACGAGCGATCGAGAAATCGTGGAATTGAATTATTTCTATACAACTTTCATATAAATATAGTAGAGTTAATAATTGCGAGAAGCAAACATTAAAATTGATTAAATTGACAATATTTTGTTCTAAAGCGATAAGCAAGAATCTCTTACAAATATTCCTTAATTCTATCATTCATTTAATTTGAAAGGTTACCAAAACCAGACATATCCGATCCCTTTCAACTTACGCCTTAATTTGTTTGTACTATAAAAAGAAAGTGATCCATACAATGAATAATATGTATAAGTAAGTAACAATCTGCAAAATGCGTTCCACGAATTCGTGTTACATAAACACCTGCTCTTTTTTGATTTTTACAATCGTAGATGCTCGGTTCTACGAAATTTGTGAAATCAATTGGGTTAAGGGTCAGGCCTTCACATATGTATATAGCGTATAAAGAGTGAAAGATGAAAATTTATTTTTCATTTTACTTTATATTCATCATTTAAAGTACTGTACATATAATAAAAAAAAAAAACTTTGGATTATATTTATATATTTTGATTTCAATTTTTAAAAATATTCGAATTTTAATCGCTCCGTCGCAAATTCAATATTCCTTTTTTAATTTATTGTATTCGTTGTGTAAGCATTATATAATTTAATAGTAATTTATTTAATTTAACAAACATAAATATTGTAAAGGTGAGAAACGAATATACATATATATCGATATATACATGTATAATGACGGTAATATGGTAGAGAAAATTGTCCAAATCTTCCAGTCTTCTAAATAAACAAGCGGAAATTATTCGATTAGAATTGCGATTCGACTCCATAACAACAATTTAAAGCTCTACAAATTCTTGAAATAGTTAAAATGAAAAAATATCAAAATAATAATAAAAAAATAAAATAAAAAAAAATAAAATACAGTAATATTGTATTGGGTACGGTCAACCCTAAATACACAACCAGGGGAATATCCATTAATCCAATAAAATTAATTTTTTAATTGTTAATACTAGGGAATTTTTTGTAAAATTTTAAAATTTTCCATATTTAGGTAATTAAGCATAATATTAACAAAAAACGAATTTATTGGAATGTCAAATCATATTTCTTTATAATGAGGCGCTTTAATAACTTGAAGTAAATTTATTAAATTTATATACAACAGATGTATTTATTGCACCCCTTGGTTATGTCATTAATTACGTTTTTACGCGTAATTTAAAGAGTGGGCGCGTGAATTTGAATAATTTTGCACGGCGAAACATTTATTCATAAACATTTTATAAATTGTACCAGACCGTTCTTTGGACCGGTTCAATCATTTATCATGAATTTAAAATAAATATGTATGTAGGAACCTAATTTTTCTAAAATCGTAAAAAAAAAGAAGTAAAATGTATGCTTGGGAAGAATAATTTGTGGAGAGTTACAACCATAATGGAAATAAGGAAACTCATGGTGATATCATAAGCAATTCTTCTTTTAAATTTGTATCGTGAAAAATAAATACAATTTCGCGTAAATTTCTATTTACGATTTCAAAAAATATTTAACTGTTTTTTGAAACTTTAAAGTTCTCTAACGTCATCTTCCAAAACTTTATCATTTTTTTTTCTGCATTAGTCTATGAATGAAAACAAATCATTACTACCATCTTACTCTTTACATAAATCTTTAAACTTGTTTTCGATTGATTTATCCCCTAAAAATTATTGAACAATTTATTGTTATTACTGCAAAATTTATTAAGAGTTTGAACTAATTTATGTAACCGATATGATCTTTTAATAAATCTTCTCTTCTTTGTAAAATTACTACAGAAACTGCAGCGAAAGTTCGTTCCACCAAATTTTGGTTATATTTTTACAATGTTGAGCCGTCTTATATAAACCCGCAACGTCGTTAAGAATATCAACTTATCCCTAATGAGTGGAATTGTTGTGCAAAAGGAATCATTAGATCAGTAGTGGAAATCGTTTAAGTTATAGAATCGGCGTGAACAATTAATTAAGTTTATATTATATGTTTTAGCGATCTTTTTGTTCACATCGTTGGTCATCCCAGTTACAAAATTTTCTTTGCCTACTTATGCGTTGAATTTGGCGGGTGATTCGCTTGTCGAAGAAAATTTTAAAATCACTTTCAAAAGCTTTAATGACATGACACATTAGACAATTCTGTCGTTATCATCTCATTTGAACCGGCATTACTGAACTTGGTCGAAATTAACCGCGTGACAAATAAGGTGGCAAATAGACTTTTCACACTGAAATAATTCTCTGTCCCTGGAATACATAGTAAAAACTGAGACTGTGACACAGGGTGACAAATTATATAGGGTCACGTGGGGTGAAAAAAGTGTTAGGAAAAATTTTTTTTTATCAACTTCACATGCTCGTCTATTTATCATATACCCCCTAAAATAAGCTCCATATGACATAAAAGTATTATGTGATGAATATATAAAAAATTATTTAACAAACAAATTACAATGTTATAGAGAGCTTATTTTTGAAGAAATATGTAGTTTATATTTAGCATTCATTTCTTATTTTGTTTGGCAACAAAGTTTTTATATATTAATTGAATGTTGATTAAGTTAACAACTGGATTAACTCAGGTAATAACAATGCAAGTATTATTTTAATGGTTAAGATATTTGACATTAAAATATTTTACAAAAGAAAATTTTTAGTTTTGACAAAAAAATGAAAGTTATATAAGGTTAATTTAAAAAAAATATTTAATAAAAGTTTTTATTCATAAACTTTAAAATTTAATATATTTTAAAAAATTTTAAATATAACAAATTTTCAAAAATAACAAATTGTAATAATATTAAAACTTAGACAATTTCTCTTATCAATAAGATTAAAAAGAAAACTTTAGATATAATAGATATAACAAGTAGAAATAAAAAGTTATATACCTGTTTATATAAAAGAGTTTTCTTATAATAAAGATAATGCAAAAGTTATAAATAAAGAAAAATTTTAAAATTAATTAGAAATATAGGTTAAAAGGAAATATTATAATTAAAAATCTAAAAATATAGAAGTATTATTTGAAAGAGAAGTGATTAATAATAAAGTGAAACTTTTCAAACTTGTTTTATATTTTCTATTTAATCTAATAATAAAAATTTAAAAGTTTAAATCTAAGATTTAAAGAACATTCAATATAACACAATCTTAATATTTATATAATTTTATTATATATTATTATAATTTAAAAAATTAATTTTATGTATAATATTTTTTAAATATTTATTATTTAAAATAAGGTTAGTTGTATTTACAAAGACTAAAGTTAAGGTTGTAAAGCAAAATCTGGAAGTTTTGATAAATATTGAAATTAAAACCTATTAAAATATTTTGCTAAACATTTTTATTAAAGATAAAATAGTAAAAATTTTGATAGGAAATAAAAGTTTCAATACAATTTTTTAATTTTAAAAAATTATTATTCTTATTTTATGAGATAAGCATTTATATAAAAGATTATTTCTTTATAATATTATATATTTATATATTTTATATATTTATAAAAAATAAAAAAAAATTTATAATATATATAAAATTGAATTAATTTATTCTTTATTAAATTTAATTATATTATTTATCTCTAATCAATATTTTCTTTATTTAAACTTATGATGATATTCTTATCTTCTTTATCCATTAAACTTTTATTTGAAAAGTTATTATCTAAAAGTTAGCATAAAATTTGATATTTTAGTTTTAAACCTATATCTAATTTTTAAAATTAAATAAATCTAGATATAAAAAATAAATTCAATTTTAAGCTTTATTATCAATGATTATCCTTCTAATTTTTTAATAAATTTCAAATCTACTTAATAAATAATATATATTAACTTTAAAACTAAGAAAATGGGAATCATTATTAAGTCTAAAGCAATTTTTCTGCATTAGTCTATGAATGAAAACAAATCATTACTACCATCTTACTCTTTACATAAATCTTTAAACTTGTTT